CTCCCTGTCTGTTTTCCTGCCACCTCACTCTGCTATGAGGTGCCAGTGTAACACCCAAATATTGAACATTTATTAAGAAACAGGTACTGTCTTAGAGACCAGGGAAACAAAAAACAAAGGCAAAAATTGCCATGATACAGCTCACAGAATATTTATGTGTCAGATAAGTAAACAGGAAATACTGCTGAACAGTTATCAGCAGAGAGCATTATCAAGGTTGTATAATTAAACTGCATAAAATAATAAGTGTCACATGAGAATAGTCACTACCCTCACCCACTGTTAACATTTTATGACATATAGGATTCTTGTACAAGAAGCCATGACTACCAGTATCAGGCTGCTTTGATTAAAACTGCTTGGTAGCATATCTTTGAAGCCACATATTCGATGCTTCCAACTTTGCTTCTATTGCTTAAGACTATTTTAACTATTTGGGTTCTCTTGTGCCTCCGTATGAATTATAAAACATTTTTCCTAGAACTTAAAAGAATGCCCTCTTATGGGACCAGACTAAATCTATAAATTTCTTTGAGTATTATGGTCATTTTGATTTTTTCAATCCATGAACATGGAAGTCTTCCTTATTTGGCGTGTTCTAAAATTATTCCCTTAATATTTGCAATTTTCATTATAGAGATATCTCACAGCCTTTCTTAAGTTTATTCCAAATTTTTTTTAATTTTGTTACTATTGTGAATAATAATGGTCTTACATGGCATTATTTGTGTATAAAAAGACTATTAGTTATTATGTGTTGATTTTATGACCTGAAAGTTGATTACACTCCCTTATGAGTTCCGGTAGTTTCTTAGTGGACTCTTTCGGGTCCCCTGTATATTGGATCATATCATCTGCAGACAGGGACAATTTTACTTCCTCCCTTCAAAACCGCATCCTTTTGATTTTTCTCACCAAAGGTCTCTAAGCAAAACTTGCAGAGCAACATTAAATAGCAATGGTGAAAGTGAGCCAACTGGTCTAGTTCTGGATTTTACCAAAATGTTCCAACTTTTCCCCATTCAATATGATGCTGGCTGTTAGGGTTGTCATAAACTTTCTTGATTTTGGCAAGGAATGTGTCTTCTAGACCCAATTTGCTTAAGGGTTATTTTTTCAATCATGAAAGGATGTTATATTTTATAGACTATTTTGCCTATATCTACTATGGAAAATAATATGGAGATTCCTTAGAAATTTGAAAATATTATCAGCCATCCTAATCCTGAGAATTTACATAAGTGAAATGAATTAAGCATATGACAATGTTATTTGTACCTCCATTTTTACTGCAGCTCAATTCACAACAGCTAAGATACAGAATCACAACTGATGTCCATCAACTGATGGCTAGAGAATGAAAATGAGGCATATATATAAACCATGGAATACTACTAACCCCTAAAGAACAGAACCCTGTCTTTTGCAACAAAATGGTTAAAAGCCAAACTGAAAACCATCATGCTTAGTTAGGTAAGCCAATTCCACAGAGATATCACATGTTTTGCCTAGTATGCCAAAGGGTATTTTTCTTTTTCCTGTTGATTTTCAACTTTGTTTATATTATCCTTCACAAAATAGAAATTCTTACTTATTTTTTTCAATGGTTGTTAATTTACTTTCATTTTATGTGAAAGTCAGAAAGAAACAAAAGCCAGAGATCTGATGGTTTACTCCCCAAATACCTGCAACAGACAGACTGAGTCATGCTATAGTCAAGAGTCCAGAACTTGACCATAATTCCCATGTATGTGACAGGGAACAAAGCACTTAAGTCATCACATACAGCAGTCTTCTTATGAAGCTCATTGCTTCGTGACAATCTTGGGCACCTTACTTTACAGAGTAACCTTGACATTTATTTCCAAAAAAAAAAAATCAATTGAAAATATGTATCATTCTTATTTAGCCTTGCCAATTATTCTGTAAGATAATTAAAATCCTATAAGATATCTAGTTCAAACTGTTTCTGCTCTTCAAAGATTAGAATTAACTACTCAGTCTACTACCTATGCAAGTGACAATGTAGTGTTATCTCTACCTATTCTTCCCACAGACAGCTCACAGATATCCAACCTATCACATGTATACACTCAACATATATTTCAATACTCAATCCTAGAATTGTAAAGTCAGAAAGTCACCTTTAATTACATAGGGGATCTATTCCATAGCCATATGCTTAGAAAAGCCAAGATCTCATGATTTCTAACTTCACCAGTCTCATGTAGAATCTCATATAATCACATTTTCATCTGGAAGAAACTTTACAGAATCACATCTCAACCAATCTCAACAACTGCTCATCCTATAGGTAAAAAAAAAAAAAAAAAAAAAAAAAATTAGGCCTGTGGTGACAAAAACAACTCAACCAAAGTGATACAACTAATTAGTGGTTAAAGTAAAGTTAGAATATGGGCTCATGGGAGCATACCTAAGAGATGGCTCTGTATCAGCCTACCATTCAACCAGAGATCTTTTTATACAGACTCTATATTGCCTCCTTTGGGATTTCTCCACACCTGATCCAGCCTTACTCTCCAGTCTCCTCAGAACCTAAAATAGTCTAGTTGCCAGACAACTGTTTACCTGCTGAATGAGAAGGGGGATGAGTCTTGGAACACAAGAATAGATTCCAGTTAGTCAAATACTCTCCACTGGGCTTTAAAGGTCCCAAGAGCAATCAGTAACTTGGCTTAGTTTTCAATACCAAGGTGATAGAGAGAAGCAGGCCCAACTACATAATGAGAAATGAGTATGAGACATCAGCAAGAACAATGAAACACATCCAAAGACAAGATACAGAAACTGATATATCTACTATCAGCAGCCTTTGAAATAGCTCTGGCTTAGTTAGATGGCAAACAACAAAAAAAATTTCCAAATGAAAATAACAATGCTTGTGTGTAAAACATTATAAAGACTACAAGCACAAACTCTGGGATTGGATTCTTGTCCGTGCTTAAATATGGCTTCTTCCTGATGGGACAACCACAAGTATTCTTCATAAACTTCTTAGAGTCAGGTCTTTCTCTTTAGTTAAAAAAATAAAGAACAAGAATTAGGTCTATCTCTCAGACATAGAATGGCTTAGAAAAGGGGATCTTAAATTGTTTCTTATGAGACTGACATGCTACCTACTGCACTAACAAGGCTTCCTAAATTGTTTCTTAATATAAGGTCATAGCTTGACAGAAATCAAGTGGACCAAACTCCTGACTGACATTATAAACACCAATGCTGAATATCAGCATGCTATGAATACCAGAGGGTTTTCTGCCACCAAATCATTGATCTTAAATCAAAACTGTACATTTCAGAGCTGCTTTCAGAATAGTAGAGAGACAAACTCAGCTTATTCCAAAGATTTAGTGAAGAAATTGTTTTTAATCAGTTTTCTTTTCACTCAAAATTGTCTGAAGGGCATATAGCAAATTGAAACACATTCATCAAAAAAAAATCTATTAAGTCTCAATTACAGCAATCAGTCTATGATATTTGGGCCATACTGTGCTTTATTCTTCTACTTCTAGCTCCATGTAACAGGAACTGTTTTATGGACCCTCTATTCTAGGCAAGTACAGTCAAGAAAATGGGATTGCCTCTTCCTCCAGTCTTCAGCTCAAAGCTAAGGTATCATCCTTGGAAGGATATGTGGTTCTCATTCCCTCTGATCCAATATCCACGTGCAAAAGTTCTCTTCCAGGCAGGCTTGACTAAGAGCACTAGTACCTCATTTTTCTACCCAGCACCTGTTCCTACATTGAAAACTCCACAAGTATAATCACTGAGGACATGTGGGTCCTGATTACCCCTGCACCAGCTTGCTCACAGGCAAGGATCTTACAATGGGAGCTTCAATCCTAGAAGACCAGGAGCTGTCAGCATCTCCTCCTCGTACTACAGGCATGTCACTCTAGATGATGCTGCTGACACTGCACCTACCTACTAAGCAGTAGTAATATATGCATTCTCCCAGGAGAAAACACAAGGATAAAGAGCTTCACAGTGCTTATACGCAGCTTATTGATTTTTTTTTCCATGAGTAGAATATGAAGAATCTCATGCCTAAGGGTGTTGTTGAAAACAGTGGAGAGATTGGTGGGAAATAATTAAGACGGTTTCAATAGCTTCACAATCCTGCTAGAAACCGAAAAAAAAAAAGCTAGAAAATCAGAACTTTAATACAAATAAGCAGAGAAAGAAACAATAAAGGAGGACTCTAGTTTCCTAGTAAGTCCTGGAGGTTCAAAATCTGTACACATGTCCTAGGCATACTGCTCAGGAACAGTCAAAGCACAGCATGGGTGAGACTTAAAAACATTACCCAAACTGCATGCAGATTCCACCTCAAAAGAGAGAAGCCACACTGGCTCAAGGGGCTGGGTATAAGCTTAGACGAAACACTAGTTGAAATATAAGCTATTCTGACCCCCAGGAAAAATATTACTGAGCCATGCTCTAAAACAAAAACATATAGCCTAGGGGTGCAGAGTTAAACTGCCACTGTGACATTGGCATCTCATACAGGAGCTCCAGTTCACATCTCAGCTGTTGTGCTTCTGATTCAGCTTCCTACTAGTGATGCATATGGAAAAGCAGTGGATCATATCCCAAGTGCTTCGGTGCCTAGCAGCCATGTGGGAGATCAGAATGAAACTGAGCTGAGCCTGGACTGATGCAGTCATCTCAGTACACAGTCATCTGAGTGGATTCAACCTGTGGACAATAAGTGCTAAACGCAACTGGTACGCACATGCCATGGACTAGGGGTTTCTTTACACAACGGTTTTCTTTCAGAAAGGAAGTAGTATGAAGTGGAAGAAAGGAGGACAAAGAAGAATATGAGCACAGAGAATCAACTAAGCTGACAAAATGGGAAATCGTGTTTTTCTTCCTAATTATATAAAATCACTATGACTGTATGAATTCAGTATGAATCCAAAATACCACAATCAGTTATTCCAAGCTGAGGACACAGGGATGTGAAAAGACAATACCTTCTGGGGGCGTCCCAACGCTGCTGCCGAGTCCCAGAATGGCCATCTGATGTCTTCGTGGTGCCAATATCACAGCAGACTCTTCTCCCCTCTCCCAGTGAGGTATTTTGACTGGTTCCAGGTGAACATTATCCAGTCCGTTTTCCTGCAGGTTTTGGTACATGATTTGTATGGCTTTTTCTAGGCTCTTGGAGCCACTCAGTCTAGGTCCCACAGTATCCACCAGAAGTGCCAATCGCTCATAAGATCTATTCTGGGATTCACCATACACAGCACGATTGATGATGGCTTTAGCAACGTCTCTGTAGCTGGCTATTTCTTCTTTTATTTCTTGAAAAGTCCTCTGAGAGATGTTATTCTTGTTAATAGCTCTTCCAGAGCCCAGGGATACTAGGTGAACAATACCAACAAATGTGAAGACAGGAAACTTCATTTTTTTAACAGTTGGTTTTCCTCATAAGATAGCCTATGAAAGTGAAAAAGCATGCTTTAGGGACAAAAAGAAGGGGGGGGTGGGGTGGGGACCTCACAGCCTCTTCCTATAACTTAGAGATCTCAAGAAGCACTCCTCTTTTTTTTCTCAACTGCTGTCTAACACCCACAATCAAATTCAGACACTACAAATCCCATGACTCATATGCAAAGAGGCACTGAGTGGCCTTATTAGTAAAGAACCACAACAACACTATAGAATCACGTTACCTAGCAGCAATCCTATATAATATATTCCAAAAGAGTCTGATGATAACTGAGACGGGGAGGCCGGGGAGAGCAGTGGTATCTCTAACAGGAGTCAGTGTTCTCTGCCGCACCTGCCTCTGTTCAGAAGACAATCCAAATGGCTGCAGTGGCTCCACATGCTCTTCCCTCTGCCTGTCAAACGCACAAGCCTACTCAGCTGTCATCTTTGGTCCATTTTTTCCTTATCACTCTTTTCCCTAAAAACCCTTAGTGTTTCATCTGTGTTCCAAGGGCAGTTTGTTTTTAATGTAACCCGAGAGAGAAATGGAGAGAGGGAGAAAAGAGGAAGGGAGAGCAATTTACACTGACATTCGAAAGATACTCAATTCCAACTATGTGTCAGGGCCTGTGGTACGGTTTTAGAAGGAGAAAATCTAAGTTACTACAAAAAGAATTTTGTTTCCATTTAACTATGTGCTATCCATTACCAACATAACAATCAGAAATATTTATATGGCTTGGTATGTGTCAAAGAGTATTTTCAATACACTGCATTTGTTAATGAACTTAATCTTCATAACAACCCTACAATGTGGTTTTTCTTACCTTTATCTTACAAATGCAAAACCTGAAGCACCTGAAGATTAAATAACTTGCCAAAGACACACAAAACCTTTCTACTTCTACAGTCCCAATTCATGAACCACAAACTGCTTTTACGAGTGCACAGGAGGTAAGTATAGATATTAAGAGTTAATGTACCCAGTGTTGCACAATAAAGTACACAATAGTCTTGTGTGCTTGCCTAATTAAACCAAATGAAGGATTTAGTTTATCAATTATACACTGTAAGTCCTCCATAGCCACAGGTGGCAGTGACTGTCCCATTGAGTAACACAGAAAGTCTCTACCATTACAAAAATTCAATAGCTCGAGTTTACATGTTCTTAAAAACTATATATTTGGGGCCCGGCGCGGTGGCGCAAGTGGTTAAAGGTCCTCGCCTTGCACGCCCGGGATCCCATATGGGCGCCGGTTCTAATCCCGGCAGCCCCGCTTCCCTTCCAGCTCCCTGCCTGTGGCCTGGGAAAGTAGTCGAGGACAGCCCAAAGCTTTGGGACCCTGCACCCGCGTGTGGGAGACCCGGAAGAGGCTCCTGGCTTCGGACTGGCATAGTATCGGCCCGTTGCGCTCACTTGGGGAGTGAATCATCGGACGGAAGATCTTCCTCTCTGTCTCTCCTCTCTGTATATCCGCCTTTCCAATAAAAAAATAATAAAAATAAATCTTTAAAAAAAAAACTATATATTTGCTCTGGTTTTAAATGTTTGCCTACTTGAAAACTCATATTGCAATTTAATTGCTGTTGTGATGGTAGCAGGAGGAGGGACTTTCAAAGGGTGTTTTGGTCATGAGGGCAGAACTGTTATTATAGGAATGAGTTTTCCCGTCCTGGCACTCTCTCTTTCCCTCTTGCCCTCCTGCTACCAATACATGCTGCCGTGATGTGATACAGCAACAAGGTCATCACCAGATGAGGCCCTTGGATAGTAGACTTCCCAGCATCTGAAACTATCAGTCCATAAATTTCTTTTTATTGTAAGTGACCCAGCCTGTGGTGTTCTGCTATATACGGCATACAGTGAACGAAAACAACATCTATCAAAGGCAATGACTTAAAAATGGCATCCTCTTTTTATGCCTGTTCATGAAGTTTTCTAATAAAAAGTGCATTGTGTGTCAATATTAGTCTCTAAGTAATGAATTTTTAAAAGCTGGTCTTTCACCACCCACAGAAAAAAAAAATGGAAAGTATGGTTGTAAACTACACTATAAGGGTAAATTACATCAACGGACAAACAGGCGATTCAAAACATCATTCCAACAAATATTTCTACCTTATCACTCTTTTTCATCTGTAGAGCACACAGTTGCATTTTGGGTCTCATTCTCTTCCACACACACACATATACACACATGACTATTTCTAAGCTTCTATACAGTGAACATCTAAAATGATTGTTATCTAAGTAGAGATTTTCTGTGGTAAACATAAATATATATAGACAGATAGATAGATACACACACACACATAGAGGGAGAGAGCAGACATAGACATATATTCTAACTACTTAATTATAAAAAATAAATTTTCATATTCATTGAATTAAATAAAATATACCAATAAATTTCCCTATTTCTTTTTATTTTTTTAGTATTGAGCATTTTAAAATTCCATACTTATGTTCATATTTGCATTGGACAATAAATTTTAGTTGCAGTGAACCTCACACTTATCTTCAAATTGCAGGCCCTTCATAGACATGCTTCTACCTACACAGAATTTCTGTCACTGTAAGGCTCTTTTCAACCGTTCTCATTCTTCCAGCTAATATCTTCATTCATTCTCAAAATGCCTTAAAACCTCAATGAAACTGTTAAACATATCTTGACAATAGAACACTGGATTTGATAACATTCTCTATACCTACAATGTCAAAATTGACTTAAATAGTAGAATGATGGACTTGTGACTTTTGTTGAGGGACTAAACTGTCATTACAATATAAAGGAAACATTTGGGGGGAAATGGTGGGAGAGAGTAGAAGGGTAAATCCCTGAGCCTAAGGAACTGTAACATGAAAAATAATTTATTTTAAAAATGCACCTTTTCTGCGCAGCCTCAGCAAACAACACCCCAGAGTATATTGCCCCATCTCTATGTTCCAATCATAACTAACCATGTTATCACTTACATATCTGTCTATAAATATCTCCTCCCTTCTTGTGTAGTCAAGGAGGCTAATTTATTCACCTATGCAATTTTGAATATTGAACTGAAATATAGGAATTCAATACTTTTCTATTTAAGGAATGAATGAGTCTTTAATCTCTGTGGGTCTTAGCTTCCCTAGGGTATAAAAACACCAGGCATGCTTCCTTGACAAACAAGCTATAAGAATAAAAACTTGCTATAATGTTAGGAACAGTTTGGAAGATTATGCAAACTACACCTTTCTGCTGCTTTCCTTTTTTATTTCAGTCCTTTAAGTGCATAAGTTCTTGGTTTCTACAGTTGCAGTTCGATGTTCTGTTTGAAGGCTATGTTTTGTTAAACAATCAAAATATTTCACAAGGTTGCAATTTATTCTTCAAAATACTTTTTTCAATGTACTGTTGTATAAAAAAAAATAAAGGTTTATAAACCATGTACTCCTTAACACTAACAAGACGCATCTGCTTATTAAATATTCTGTAAGCAATCTACAAATATTAAATAATTATTTCACAATCCATTGCTAGTCAGAGATTATAAGTATAATAGAAACAACACTGTGGCAACACAGGATAGCTTAAGGATTCTTTGTCTATACTCTTGTTTTGCAGAAAATTAATCAAGGCCTTGGTTGTGATTCCCAGGCAGCAGATAAACCAGCAAGAATAATCAACCAAGAAACTGGACTGACACAGATTTCTTGTAGTAGTAAATATATATATAGGAAGCTGTAAGCATATATATGTAATAGAAATGCAATGAAAGATAACAAATGAGGTTTGAGAAGCAAATACTATAATAATTTCTTCATGCAAAGACTGCCATGGTAATACTGAAGAACAAAGGGGATTTTAAGGAATCATATAAAGCTACAAAGAAGACACTTCATCTGAAGACAAGCTTGAGAAACAGCTCAGCATGGAATGAAAATTATCCTCCATGGCAGAACCACTAGAACGTCATGAACTAAGGTTGCTGTCTAGTTAGAAGATACATTCAGGAGAGGGTGTTTGAAGCAACAGCTAAGCCACTGCTTGTGACGTGTTGGAGTGACTGGGTTTGACCTGGCTGCACATTTGACTCTAGCTTCCTGCAAGTGTGCACCCTGGGAAGAAGCAGGAGCTGACACATCTAGTCAAGTCCTGTCAACTCATGAGAGGGATTCAAGATGAGTGCTGGGCTCCTGACATTCACCTGACACAACTCTGGCTGTTGTGGCATGTGACAAGTGAACCAGCATTTTGGAAATCCAGCTTCCAGCTTCTGGTATCAGTCCTGGCTCAGTCACAGCTATTGCAAACATTTGTGGAGTGAACCAGCACCTAGGAAATCTCTAGTTCTGTCTCTTGCTCTTAGCTTCTCAAAAAATAATAATAAAGTTAACAAGTTATCATTTTTACAACTTTTAATATGTATATCATCTGCATTAATAAACATTTACATTTTGATCATATTTAATGTGTTTTCACATGGTCAGTTGAGCCATTTTTTGGTGCTAAAATGATGTAATTATATTTACTTTATATCAGAAGCATATACCTTTGGATGCTGTTCTGGATATCTTACCTACATTTAATCTCAAATTTTCAGAAATGCAATGTTTACTATATTTATCTTTAACTTCCAGAAATGGATTGCTTACTTTTATTTTTTTTGAATGCTTACTTTTAAAAGTAGATGAATTTAAAAGATGATGGCTTGTTACTTTTTAAAGCATCAGTTGTTCCCTGAGTAACCTGTGCTTTAGAAGTCTTAGTGATTTTGAATTATCAGAACAATGAGGTGCTTGAGAAATCACCTGGAACCCTGACATTAGCAAATGCTAAGTACCTATTAGTTGACTCAAAAGTTGATTTTCCCTGGAAGAAAATTTAAAAACTACTGCTATAATTTATTACTAGAACGCACAATTCTATATCTCTAATCATTACAAACAGTCTATATCAGAAGAGATAACAAAATCAAACCACATGTTGATACAGCATATTCTACTTAAGAAAAACACTAAA